GGCCAGCTGGGCCAGCCGTCCCAGCTATGTTCCCTCCCGCCTGCACTTGGTAGGGCATGGGAGCTGTCCTTGACTAGCAGGGTACTTAGCAACAACTGAAAACATCAGTGTGTTATCAACATTCTTCTCATACTAAATCCAAAACACAGCATTAGGAAGAAATTTAACTCTATCCCAGCCGAAACCAGGACACACAGCTTCCCCAGGACCCCCAAATTCAAAGGAGGGGTGGAAAAGGAGTAGCCTGCAGTACTGCAATCTGCATGGCAATAACATCCTTATACTGATTTCAACGGGCCAGTCTTTCCTTATCTCACTGTGTTTTTCTTTAAGCTGAACATGTTCATAAAGTGTGCACTGAAAGCTAATGAGAAGATCCTAGCTTCAAGGTTAGCCTCTGGTCAGTGTCTTCGGTGACTAATGTTTTATTTCTCCTCTAACTTCTTGCCAACACAGGCAACCAACCCCTGACCTGAAGCTATGTGGTCTCCAACCCACTTCCACCTTAAAACCAGCAGAAACCCTGTGTGTTTCTTGTCTAGCACACAGTAAACTCAACGGCACTCTAGCAAATAGGCTATTTCAGCACCTGGTTATGTCTGAAACTCTCCTTGGTGCTTTAGGAAACAACGTAATGTCAAAGAATCATATTCAATTACAACATAGTTATTTCCAAGCTTGTTTAATGCTTAGCATTTGAGGAAAACGATACGCTTACTCACCATAAGGGATATATGCCAAGCCTACTGACAATGAAGACAACGGCAAATGTAAGGAACAGAAGGTCACTCAGTTTTTGACACTTGCAATAGTTTGCCATTTTGGCCGCCTGTAAAAGAAAGAAATGTCTGTTTGCTTCTGTGAGGACAACTGAGTTCTCTTGTATTGTGTATAAGCTGTAAGAAGAAGAAATCAGATTTTCATGAAATTGCTAACATTTTCATTGGACCACTTCACAGTGACCTCCTAACTCCTCTCCACCATGCAGGTAGAAAATGTCTTCTCAGAAAAAAAAACCAGACTGTGTAAAACCAGAGTATATCTCTCATTTCTTCCCCCCTCATTCAATTTCCTTTTTGAAATCCTACAATTTCAGATTCACAAAACTCTTCTAAACCTTTTATTGAACCCCATTGTGTTTATGCTGTCCTTTTCCCCAACCTCTTTACCTACCTGTCTCTCACCTTTCCAGTATGCTCCACTTGCATTTTTAGCATCCATCCATTGTCCACCTGCCCCACGCTCTCTGACCTTCTAGGTGTTGCTATATATAAGCTCTGTCCCTATCCTCTATTGTGCCCCATATCCTATGTTTTCCTACAGCATCTCTTCTTCCTTTCTGGTCTATACAGAACAGTTTCTACCTATAAGATTATACCCCTCCCCTTCAAATCTTTTTCCAAGGCTCTTTTCTCCTCTCCTTCCAACTTTTGCTTTCCAACTTGTTACCCTATGCCTATTTTCACATGCTTCTCTCATTTGTCTTCATGCAGTCTTCTGACTCCTCCCCAGTGAAGAAGTCTACTAATTACTCTTCACTCAAACCGCTCATTAAAACACTGATCTTCCTTGAAGTTTCTTTGCACTTTTCTCCCTGAAGAAAACAGCATGTACAAGCAAGCTTGTTTTAAGATGTCTATGCTGCTTCCACAGCGTTCATGTGTGCAAGCAGTTACTTATTTTAAACCATCTGCTTCAAGGCAGGGACAGTCTTTCTTTATGCTTTCTGTCAAATATATCCAGAGAGTCACTGCACAATGAAGTACATGAAGAGCCTGATTTAGTGTCCACTTAAATCGCTGGGAACCCTTTCAAAGTACCCCTCTGAGGGGACCTATATCCAGCTCCCACATTGAAGAAGATGCTTACTTGTGCAGACTTTCCAGAGCGCGAAGAGGGAGTAAAATTACCACAACTATGCATATAGAATACTATTCTGAATGCAGAATTCAAACCAGAGAATTGTCTAAAATGGTGAGAGACACTCTTGCATTCTGTCTAATTTTTTTGGTATGAACACACTGAACCTGAAAGTGCTCAATGCTCATGTCAGACAATCTGGATGCCAAAACCAACCTGGACTTTTGGATGTTACATAACTTCTGCAATATTTCCACTCAAAATCTGAATATAAAGGATATCCTCACTAACAGAAAACAAGTTAGGAAGCTCACAAAATACGAGGAAAGCCACCAGTGCTCACCAAAATACGAGGAAAGCACCACATAACCTTTCTGAATCAGCCTTATAGTCTATAGTGGACACAAATGA